GATTGGACAGCGAAGCCATCCTTAATTTCCCAAACAACAGCCAGGCCAACAGCATTAAAGAACAAGTCCCCTTCAAATGATGCCACAAACGGGCACAGCTTCTAACCCTCCTCTCCCTGGCTTGCTGCGCACAGCTGGGGCACTGTTCCCTCTCCCCTCAGCCAGGGGGTGCTTGTGGTGAAGCTGCAAACTTTTGAGGAAAAAAAGCTGCAAAGACGTCAGACAGGAGCCAGACCAGAACAGAGGCTCTGGAAGGGAGGGCACCCCCAGATGGACCTCTCCTGGCCCCGCTGGTGGACACCACCAACCACCTCCCACAGCCTGTCTTTACCTTTAGGTCCTGGCAGGTTGGGGGCACAGACAACTTCTCCTGGCTGAAGAACTTCCAACTCTGCTCACTACTCCAAGAGGCCCTCAATCAATTTACTGCACGCATGTGTGCATGTGTGTTGAGCTATGAGCAAGCTGAAGAGCACTGGCCCTTGAGGACATTTTCATACTCATGTCACATGAGAGCCTCATGGGAGTCTCCACACCAGATGGCTGGATGGACAAGACACCCGGGGTCTGATGTCTAGCTGGGGCATGGGCACGGTGCTGTACCACATAACGTCAACAGCTACCATCCCTGTGTTACCCACGAGGAAACTAAAACTCAGGCAGGTTAAGTGGCAGGCCTAGAATCTGGCTCGAGTCTGTCCAGGTCCACAGCCCATCCTCACTGTTTCCTGACGCAACCAGATGGCATAAAAATGACCGTTACAGGTGACAAATCCCATCATGTAGGTTTGTTTCACGAAGTGTACTAGAAATTCAAATTATTTTAAATCTTAACTATCTTAAACTACTCATCTAGTAAACATTAAAATAAAACTAAGGTTCACCACTGGAAGAACTTCTAAACACTAGGTAAAGTAGAAGCAAGCAGGTTTTTGGTTATTTTTAACTTAGGGAAGTAACGATTACGCTAAAATAGCTGCACTGTGCTCCTAGTCTACGAATCAGTGGGAAAAATGTGTCTCAGTTTGCTAAATGAATGTATATTGTGGCTTTTAAAGAAAAATACATAATGGTCAAGAAAAGCAATTAATTTGTGCACTGAGCACTTTTCAAAGCACTCTGCCCCTCTTCCTGTGCACCTGCCACTACATGATGCCCACTCCTGGGTCCTGGAGTCCAACCATCCTGGACCCCAGCTCTCAGCTCTGCTTATAAGCTGGTCAGTCTCAGGTAATAAATGAAGGTGTTTCAGCCAACCCTGCAGACCTAGAACAAGAAAACTTGCCAGACCTCACTAGTGGCTCTGCTCAGGTCTTCAAGCAAGACATCAAGATTTATCTTCTCTTGGGAACCCTGCCCTCCTGCACATCTTACCTGTCTGTTTTGTGGGGTGACAGGGCCTCTGCTGGTTCCATCTCTCCATGGTTCCCTCGCCCACTTCACCCTTTTGACCCACAGGGTTTCCAGTCCTCCCAACCCTAATCTGATCTCTGCTCTCTTCACAATACCATCCCCCACCCCACACACTTCTCACACCTCCACTCCCCACCTTGCTCTGCAGCCCCACATCCAGCCTTCTTCATCCTCCAAAATGTGTCCTGACCACCAATCCTACAGCTCCCCTAGGAATGTGACACTGCAGGTCACTGTCCTTTTCACAGGGCTGTCTCCTCTCTTGGCACTACCTTTATTTCCCTCTCTTGGTACCAGTATTCTCTGGGAACCTCAGTTCTGCCTCATTCCCACTTCTGAGCAGGATTGGGTCACTATGAGTTCCTTCAGTTCTTTTCTGGAGTCTCTACCTGGAAAGGTCCAGAAGCCACTGTTTGCTCTTTGCTCACCTCTCTCCACTCCTCACCTCAGAGGATGCCATCTCTGATTTAATAAGAAAGTCTTCAAATGTGACATTACCAAAATTGATATGCAAGTTTTCAAACATGCCATATAGGAAAGAAGGTACTGCTGTATCATTACCTGGCAGGCAGTTAAATTAGATTTGGAACAGGGTCACTTTTCTACATAAGCACCACTGCAGTTCTGCATGTTAAATAATTCCAGGCAATAGTAAATTCAAGTTGTTCTATTTATATTTGACTGTTAGATATTCTAGGATCTTACTGATCAAAAACACGTCAAATTCACTTGACATTTCAAAGTATAAACTGTTGGAGTTACTTATTTTTATTTATTAATCATACTTAGTCTGCTACTATGGCAACAAAAGCAACACCACAGGGAGATGATCCTGCCCAACAGATCCTCCTGAACACCTCCCTGCACACTCAGGCAGGACACAGGTCCTTAGACAAACAGGACCTGTCCCCAAATGAACCTTCTCCATTCTGTCACCAACTACTGTGAAACTGCTCCCCCACCAGGTCCAGACAAACTTCCCTCCACAGGCAGCCCCAAGGCCCCTTCCAGCCAGAATCCACCTTCTCTGGAGCCAGCCAGGCTTCATCTGCCTACTACCAGGAGCCCCACCGGATGGCCCCAGGCTCTCTCACTGAGCCTGCCCCACAGAGTCCCCAGACCCCAACACCTGTGCCGATGGGAAGTCAAGAAAAACGCCACCCCGTATATTCGACCGAATATTAAGGATTTGTGGAAATACTTATTTTCTAGAAAACCACCAACCCTGGCTCTCCTGGGCACATTCAGCGCCCCCACACACGGGGCCGGTCCACGCTGGGCATGGGCCTCACCAACCACCATGGAAAAGGCACTTGTATTCCCAAACCATTCACAACATGACAGCCAACATACAGGATCATAGTCCCCCCCCAAATTAATACACAATTTATTATTCCAATAAAATGATGAACCATATTTTAAGTCTAAACCGCTTATGTAGTCTTCCAAATTCTGGGTGGATAAACTTTTAATACTAACTACAAAATGTAAATTCATTTCAAAGTTGAGCTGGAGTAAAATCATTGTCATTCAAGTATGAGGCCAAACATGTGTTTTGTTTTCTTTTTTTAACTGTACAGTGACTTTCAATTCAATTGGCAAATCTGAAATAAGCAGTTGTGAGTATTTTAATCTCTGCCTAGCTGCTCTAAATTATGTGTGCTTTTTAACTGACACAATCTCATTTTTTAACTTAAAAAGAACTTGTAATACAAAATTGAGCTTAACTTCAAGAAAAAGACTTTCAAAACAATTCATCTACATTTAGCTAGTACCAACTCTCTCTACAGTTTATCCCATTAACCTGTATTTGTTACCACCCTACACCAAAAATTTGGAAATGATGCCTTACAAAAAAAGAGGTGCTGCAAAGTGCTACCAGTTGTCCAATTCTTTCACACTATAAAAATACCAAACTCCCTTCTGTGAAAAAAGCCACTCACCCCTGTCACTATGGGCAGAGGTTCCCAGGCCCATAACATAATCAGGGCTCATGGTAGCCTTGGTGGCCCCAGGGACTCTCCCCTGTATACAAGCTGGAGGTGAAGGTCAGAGGCCTGGCCTCCACCCTACAGTCTTTCTTACTTAATCGTCACTTTCTTCTGCAAGTCTCACTCTACCCTCAAAAAGTCTGAATTATGTGCCCTCACGAAAAGGTAAACATATTTCCACGTTTAGCATGTCAACACAAATGGTTTTGACTGAATGGCAATAAGAGGATTTTCTTTAAGAAACCTCAAATCCTGGAAATAAAAAGAAACTATCCTTTCTTGTGACATCAAGTTATTTGTATACAACAAACTGTCAGATTAAAAGGCAGCTCTCAGGCCCTGCTATTGATTTTAAAAGCCTACAGTATAAACACACATGAATAGCATTTTGGTTTGAAAATAATGTTCTCTAAAAGGCTCCCATCAAGGTTTAGGAACTAGACGGTGCAGCGATCCAGGCTAATCAATAGCACAGAACATTCGTACAAAAATCACAGAATTAAGAAAAGCAACAGCTCGTAATTACTGACGAGCATCTCCAACAACTGAGAGCAGTTAAAAATTCCAGTTTGTGGACAAAGGCTCTGCTTGCAATGATCTTGAAAGGAGCCCCTGAGGAGTAATTAGCATTTCCTAAAGAGCTAGTTTATTTTTCAAGCAGAGTAAATGATGACTTAGAAGCTCTTCTGTAGTAGGACTGACACTTCCCCACGAAGCTCACTTAACTGACTCTATAATTTCTAAATAATCAACTTTTTAAAAAAGTTATGCTAAAAGTATCGTTCTCCAAAAATTTTAAGGTTCAGAGGATAGATATAAACATTCATCATGATTGACGCTTTCAATTTTTAGGCTACCAAAAATACAAGAGGGAAAGAGGAGTCCCCGCAGTTTAAAAAACAAACACTCTTGAACAGTTCACTACTGAAAGTGGGTAGAACAACAAGAAGTAACAGACAAGCTAACCAGTTAGGACAGAGATTCGAGTTTCCGGCGGTGCATCAACGGGAGCCGCTCACATTTCTGCTCGGGGCTGCGTACGCGCTGTTCGTGGGACA